TATCAGTCAAATAATCTTTGAAGAAGTTAATTCTGCCCTCTTGAAAAGTTGGTTCCTTCTGCCATAGATACACAAAGGATCCATCTTGGAATAAGAAATTGAGATATTTGGACCATGCAGGACCATGGACAGCAACAAAACAATTCAGACATTGCTCCAACGGTTGTGGTTTTCTGTTCCTGTATACAGTACAGGTAGTCCTCAACTTAGAACAGTTCATTTAGTGACCGTTCAAAGTTATAATGGCACTAAAAAAAGTGACATAGCCGTTTTTCACACTTATGACCATTGCATCATCCCTATGATCACGCGATTTACATTTGGATGCTTGACAACTGACTCGAATTTATGACGGGTTGCAGTGTCCCGGGGTCACACGATCACCTTTTGCAATCACCTAACAAGCCAAATCAATGGGGAAGCCAGATTGACTGAGCAACTGTGCTACTAATTTAACAACTTCAGTGATTCACTTAACAAATGTGGCAAGGAATGTTGTAAAATGGGACAAAATTCACCTCACAAATTTCTCACTGAACAACCTACATTTTGGGCTCCATTGTGGTCATAAGTTGAGGTCTACCTGTAACATGTTGTTTGATGTTAAGCTCCAGTTGAAACCGACATTTTTCAGTGCAACTGAATTTCCTAAAAGAATAATTGTAGAGCAGGATTTTTTTTCTTCCCTTGTTTGAAGAGCTGAACAAACCAGTGGTGAAATGTAAAATTTGTTACTACCAGTTCTGTGGGCGTGGCTTGGTGGTGGTGGGGTAATGTGACTGAGTGGGCATGGCCAACTTTTTTAAAAAAAAAACTTTTAAAACCATTTTTTCTACAACCTCTTTGGTCAAAGAGGTTGTAAAAAAAAGCTTTTAAAAGCCTCTGATGATCCCAGCTGAGTTGCCTGATCGTCAGAGGCTTATTTTTTTAAAAAATGTTTTTAAAAGCCTTTGACGATCCCAGCTGAGCTGCGCGATCCTCAAAGGCTTTTTTTTTTAATTTTTAAAAGCATTTTTTCTACAACCTCTTCGGCCAAAAAAATGCTTTTAAAAGTAAAAAAAAAAGCCTCTGATGATCATGTGGCTCAGCTGGGCATGGGGGGTGGGGGGGCCAGGGATTTTTGCTACCGGTTCCCCGAACCACCCGCCGCCATTGCTATTGGATCAGGCGATCCAGTCCGAACCGGGAGCATTTCACCCCTGGAACAAACCAAGCAATTTTCTATCCTAGGCAATCTGATCTGAGCACTATTCTGTGCCAAAAGGAAGGCCTTCTTATGTCCACAGCTCAATGAAAAGTTTGCATCGACTGAATAGCAATCAAGGGCTTAGTATTTTTTTAACCTCACAATAAAACTGGATATGACAGAGATGTATGTTTATCCTCTTTGCTTTCTCTTATGGTGCAGCTTTCGGGAATGAAAGGATTGCAGCGCTACCTGATTGATCATGACCATTGATTACCCAAAATTTAGTCGATATAATGTTAAGATAGTTGAATTTAGCAGCTGGAGCAATGGGGTTTTGCGGTGAGCCAGAACACTGAGTTGCGGTTGATTGGTTGGAAAGTGCTGGCTCCTGCGTGAGGCAATCTGCACTGTGATTGGTTGTTATGGGTGTGGAGCAGGGGTGGGTTCTATTTACCTTAACTACCGGTTTGCAATGGAGCCGCATGTGCAGAAGCATTCTGATGATGTCGGGGTTGGTGGGCGGAGCCTCCCGCCGGTTTTACTACAGATTGTATAGAACTGGTGTGAACCGGAGGCAACCCACCACTGGTGTGGAGGGGGAGATTCCCTTTTTCTTCTGTGTGTCCTGTACGCTCTGTGAATTATCTCTTGATGCTCCTGTTTGCCTGACTATCTAATTTGCTGTATATATTGATATAAAATATATTTATTAATATAAAACTATAAGTTCCTGTCAGCGCCTCTGACTTCAGTTGGACACCTGTTGCACAATTCCCTGAGAATACATACATACATACATACATACATACATACATACATACATACACACTAAACAAATAAACAAATAAAAAAGAGATAAATAAATAAATGGTTGGATAGATGATAGATAGATAGATAGATAGATAGATAGATAGATAGATAGATAGATGATAGATAGATAGATAAAAAAATTCCTCAAGACAATTCTGCAATTTGATGCTCAATTGATATTTTCAAGCTCCATCACACCTGGACTCCATGTCTGTTGTAGTTCAAACTACCTACCGGTAGGTAGTATCAGGTGGCTTGCTCTGCATTCTTCTTGAGATGATCAATACATACAAAGAATTATGACTTCCCTGGATCTTGGCTTAGCCTGTTGTGTCAAGCTAGTCCTCCTATGTTCGTGAATCATGATTTAGATTTTAATGTGCAAATTTCACCTAATGATCTTTATTATTATGGTTGTAAGCTGCCTGGGGTTATCTTGAGGTAAGATGAGCACCTTATAAATTTTATAAACCAAAATTAAACAAAGGTAGGATTTTTAAAAAATCATAAATTTAGCACAATGTGTGATCACAATCCCTAGACCAGTGATTCCCAATCTTTTTTTGGCCATGCCCCACCTAAGCATCTCTAAAATCCTGATGCCCCCCGCCACCCCGTGACATATAATTCTTACTATTCAAAAAGTGAACTCCTATTCACACGGAGGAAGTCTAAAAGGCCATTAACTTAATCATAATCATATAATCATAAGTTTATTTATCAAGTGTAACTAAGATAACAGGTAAAAGTATGAACATAATTTGAATACATGAAAAGAGAAGTAAAAAGGAATATTAGGACAGGGACGGTAGGCGCACTGGTGCAGCAGAAGTTTAAACAAGTTTAAACTTGGTTTAAACAAAGTTCCAAATTGCCCCCATTAAAAATCAAATTGCCCCACTGTGGGGCATGGCCCCACGTTGGGAACCATTGCCCTAGACACAAGAGAAGGTCAGTTCAAAGAATTATATGTGTACTTAACTGCATTGTCCATAGCTAATATGTGGACACTGCATTAAGCCAAAGAAACATTTTCAGCTAAATGACTATGGAAATTCTCAGTCATCAGTCAATCAGAGTTGTCCCAAAGGTGCTTTTTCAGGAGGCAACAGGATAGTCTTTGTTTTTCCTTGAAGAGGTTTCGCTTCTCATCCAAGAAGCTTCTTCAGTTCATTCAGTTCAGTTCAATTCAACTGAAGAAGCTTCTTGGATGAGAAGTGAAACCTCTTCAAGGAAAAACAAAGGAAAACCCAGCTCCTCTTGAAAAAGCGCCTTTGGGAAAACTTGTTCAGCCTCCTATTGCTGCAGGCTTGTGTGGAGCAGCTCATGAAGAAGACCTGGCTTTATCTTCAGAACACATGTGGGTGCAACCATGTCTGTTTGCGTAAGAGAGGAGATAGGAAGGAAGGAAACAATGAGGGGGAAGTGTCGATATTTTTTCTTCTTCTGCATTTTAAAACCTTACAGAGAAACAGAGAGGAACTGTGACCATTTCCTATTTTTGCATTGTCTTCTCTGTTTGAGGAAGAAATGGGAGAATAACTTTCTCAAACCAGTGAGATGTCACTTCCTTTGTTTTTGCTAGTAAGTTGCTTTGAATAGTGTTGTAATCTTTTTTTTTTAACTCTTCGCTACAGAGATGCACCAATAATGAGTTTTGCACTTCTTTCTTTTCCTCAAAACTTACCTTTTTCTTTTTTTTCTAAGAATAATTTGATACCATTAAGGAAGCTTTGCCTACTCAAATGCAGTACAACCTCTTCCAGCATAAACGTGGATGCAGTGGTGGGATTCAAATAATTTAACAACCGGTTCTCTGCCCTAATGATTTCTTCCAACAACCAGTTCACCAAACTGCTCAGAAAGATAACAACTGGTTCTCCCGAAATGGTGCGAACTGGCTGAATCCCACCATCGCGTGGATGTATGTTACAGTGGTTCCCATCAGCTCTGCTTAACCTTCATCCCAATTTTTATAAATACACCCTGATAACCTGGCGTTGCCCAGGTATTTATTTATACCAATCCTGCATTAGACAGGGAGAGCAACTTCACCCTGAGCCCTGATTTCAGCGAGAATTAAATTAGTTAAAAATGTTTTCCCTGTGCTCCCAGAAGCGTCAAGTAAAATGATACCACCTTGTTGTTTTCCATGATCATTTGGCATGCTTTTTTCTGGTCCTGATTTAGAAGTGGCTTCTTGTCCGCAATATATGCACTGAGCTGTTCGACATTGTAGTTCTTTTCTCGTAGGTAATCTGCGTGAAGTATGTCATGTCGGTCTCGTAGTGGTGATCATGGCCATACATTTGTCCTCAAGAATAATCAAAGCCTTGTTGAAAATGTCCGGACCAAACATAATGTCTAATGTTGGATTTTCCCCCTTACCAGAGGGAGCTCCCTTGTGGAGTACTATGAAGCCGTTACCATGGCAACTCCATTGTGCTGTACAGTAGAAGCCATTTTAAGGCAGTACAGTAGAAGCCATTTTAAGGCACAACAGGCTGTATCTTAACAGAACACACATCTCAAGGGGTGTTAGGGGTGTCTTAGCCCCCACAGTACTTCTTTTTACAGAGAATAAGTCATCTGTGTACCAAATTTGGTTGAAATTGCTTGAGGCGTTCCAGAGTTATGCTGGAACATACAGACACACACACACAAGCGCCATTTTTATATATATAGATACCTTCTTAGGAAAACCTTCAAGGAATAGGCACTTTGGAGCTTTAGCAAGATTCCAGGTTACCTCTTTTCTACTGTTTTCAGAGGTATCTATTGGGGGTGGACTGTTTTAAAACATTTTTACCTGGAAATAGTATTCTAAGCCCATTTTATCAGTACTTTAATAAACTTAATCTTTGGTAGATGATAGAAGACATCCTTTTAATTTTATAAATGTTTAGGAGGAAATTGGAAGTAAAACTGATCCCAAACTATTCTGCTACTTGAGTGAAAATCCTTTCCCCCCACTTCCATAAATTAAGATCCACAATTCCCATAAGCAGTCAAGTTTATTTTTAAATCTTTGTTCGAAAATTCCACAGGCATCTCATCAGTGATGTTTCTTGGGATACAGGTTCCTTACCAGATCAACATTTTGATATCAAAAGTCAGAAAGCTGGAACAACAGTTTTCAATGTCAATGGTTTAGAAAGGCGCTTGGACAAACTTAGAAAGATAACGCTATCAATACCTATGAACCACAATGCACTATCTAATATTTTAAGATTAGAGGCCTACTGTAGTATATTTCTCAATACTGCTTCCATGTCTTGTTCGTGAGGCCTTCTAAAGCATTAGGAACCAGGAAACCAGAAACCATGAAAAGAAATCTAAACTAGATGAGCTATAATCTGATCGAGTCCAGCTCTTTTGCTTTTAGATGGTTGCAGTATCTTCTCAGATTCTCTTATCACTTAAACTCCAAATGTCCTTTCAGGCACTAATGAAATAAAAATAAATACAGCCAGCTGTTGTCCAAGGAATGACAAAAGTGTGTTGGGTATTATTATTGGGTAGTTCTGAATTCTGGAGGTTGTCCCTTTCTTAATCAGTGGTCTGCTAGAAAAAGCCACTAATTACAGCACTAGTACAGAATGAATTCCAGCAGTATCTTTCCATAAAGTGCTTTTCTACTCCTTTTCTACCATATTTGCACAAAAATGCTCCGAAGAGTACACAAAAGTGATCATGCTGGCTCAGAAATGCTGGGAGTTGAAGTCCACACGTGATAAAAAGGCCACCCCTGGACTAAATCATAAGAATAACTAAAGGAACTGGGTATGTTTAGGCTAAAGAAAAAGATAAGGAGAGGTATTTCCAATATTGTATTTGAGGGTTGACGCAGACAAAAGGCGGGGAGGATTTCTTCTCCATCGCTCCCCCAGAATAGGACAAAAACAATGCGTGGAAGCTTTATAAGAGGAAAATCCAAACTTGAAATAAGAATTTCTTGACCCTGAGAGACATTAACCAGTAGAACAGCCTGTCTTCTGGGGGCTCCATCACACAAGGCTATAAAACAAAGATTGGACAATCATTTGTCTGAAATGGCATTTGGTTTCTTGTCTTGGGCAAATGGTTTGGGGCTAGAAGCCTTCCGTGGTCCTCTCTAGCATCATGATTCGATGACTCTATGATTCTACGTATTGTGAGGAAAAAAATCTCTATTCCTCCCTCTCTGTTTTCCCTGCAAACATCCAAACTGATCCCATTTGTCAGTCGTGGCTGGAGACCAGAAGGGAGGGAACCTCCAGAAGATGTAGGAATATATACTCAAAGTGCATAAACAATACAGATAGTCCTCAACTTACGGCCACAACTGAGGCCAAAATTCCTGCCACTAAGCGAGAGGGTTGTTAAATGGATTATGCCCCATTTTACCACTTGTCTCACCACCGTTGTTAAGTGAATCCCTGCAGCTGTTAAGTCAGTAACACGGTTGTTCAGTGAATCTGGTTTCCCCATTCCCTTCGCTTGTCAGAAGTTCACAAAAGGGGATCACATGACCCCTGGGTTCCTGCCACTGTCATAAATATGATGTCAACTCGCAAAGCATCCCTGGCCTGCTCTCGAGTTGCCAAGCATTTGAACTTTGATCATCACATGAACATGGAGATGCTGCAACGGTCATAAGTGTGTGTGGGGGGGGGAAGGGGATAAGTCACATTTTTTCAGTGCTGTTGTAACTTTGAACGGTCACTAAACAAATAGTTGTAAGTCAAGGGCTACCTGTAGAGCTGTAGAATTGGGCTTCTCAAGAAGAGACTTACCATCCATTTGGAACACCCAAAGCTTCTGTCCCTTGGTTGACTCCCTTATTCCAAGTCACATGAAGCTGACTCTGGTTCTACAGATATCTGCTCCTCCCTCACCCCATCCTCTACCCCGCTGTCCTCTGTTTGCTGGTGACTGCCAAAATCTTCCTCTCTGGCATCTTCTTTCAGCACAGCCACCGTCGCGTAGTCACTGTTCTGAGCATCTGGGTTGGTTCCGCCATCACATTGGCCCCTGCCAGAGGCCGGGAGGTTCTGTAATTCAGCGTAATGCACATCGGCTTCATAGGTGTTTTCCGACACGCTCTGGGGAATTGGGAAAGGATGGAGCGACAGGTTGGTGCTAGAAGATTATTGTCTATGGAGATTCTCAGTCATCTAGGTCATGGTTGTCCCAAAGGTGCTTTTTTTCAAGAGGCAACTGGACTTTCTGGACAGAAAGTCTAGTTGCCTCTTGGAAAAAAAAAAGCACCTTTAGAAGATTCTTTCAGCTGAGTTTGTTGATTTCCTCTCTGCTCCATGCAGGGGCTTCCAAAGGGATGGTGGGAAAAGTCAAAATGGCAAGCCAAGCTGTACGATTGAAGCTCTGTTTGTTTTCGCTATCTGCCTCTTCACACACATCAAATGAGGTGGGGCTTTGATCACCGAAGGGATGAAGGAACGGCTTCCCTTCAGAAGCTGTGTGGAAAAGCTCCATCGTTGGAGGCTTTTGAGATGGGACAACCATTTGTCTGACATGGTATAGCGTTGTCTGCTGGAGCAGGAATTTGGACTAGAAGACCTCCAAGGAGCTCTGGTGGCTCAGCAGACTAATTAACATCTACGTACATCTGCTGCCTGCAATTACTGCAAGTTCAAATCTCACCAGGCTCAAGGTTGAATCAGCCTTCCATCCTTTCTAAGGTAGGTAAAATGAGGAGCCAGATTATGGGGGCAATAAGATGACTTTGTATAAATATACAAAAGTATGAAGGCTATTGCTTAACACATTGTAAGCGGCCCTGAGTCTCCAGAGAAGGGCGGCATATAAATCAATTAAAAAAAAAAAAAGGTCCCTTCCAACTCTGTTACTCTGCTAATTGTGGTTACCAATTTGACTTTTCTGAGCCAGCCACCCCTTGGTTGATTCTCCTGCTGTTATGCTCCCGTTCTTACCTCTGTTTGAACTCTTCGAACAAGGAGGACAACTCCAACTTCCAAATTTCCCCTGCTACACTGCTGGCTGACTCCTTTCTCCTGGTTAAACCCAAACTGTTGATGCAAAGACCTCCACTCTTCTTACCTTCAGCCCTTTTCAGCTCCTGGCCTTCTTTGTCCCCCTTTCCATGGTCTTTTTTCACCTTATACACCCCTTACTGAAATGGCACCGAGATAGAGTCTTCTCAACCATTTGGCTAGCTGAGATGGTTGCTGGTGTATCCATGACCTGAGGTGGTGCAGTGGTTAGAATGCAGTATTGCAGGCTAACTCTGCTCACAGCCACGAGTTCGATGCTGACTGGCTCAAGGTTGACTCAGTCTTCCATCCTTCCAAGGTCAGTAATATGAGGACCCAGATTGTTGGGGACAATATGCTGACAAGCTATCCAGAGAGTGCTGTGAAGCACTATGGGGAGGTATATAAGTAAGTCTTAAGTGCTAGTGCAAGTATTATTGCTATGACAATAGAAGCTATATATAAGGACAATAGAAACAAGTTCTATTTATCCATTTCCTTCTGTTGGACAGAATTATCTCTGCTATGTAGACTGCCTTGCATTTCTGAAGGGTCTTTCTTCCAGGTGTACTGGAAGATGTTGTCCCCTCACACCACAGTTGTAAAATGTTTGGTACAGTACATGAATAAGAGGGATATCATCTAGGGGAGACATGATAGCAGTGTTCCAATATCTCAGGGGCTGCCACAAAGAAGAGGGTGTCAAGCTATTCTTCAAAGCACCTGAGGGCAGGACAAGAAGCAATGGGTGGAAACTAATCAAGGAGAGAAGCAACTTAGAACTAAGGAGAAATTTCCTGACAGTTAGAACAATTAATCAGTGGAACAACTTGCCTCCAGAAGTTGTGAATGCTCCAACATTGGAAGTTTTTAAGAAGATGTTGGATAACCATTTTTTTAAAAAATGATTTATATGCCGCCCTTCTCCGGAGACTCAGGGCGGCTTACAATGCGTTAAGCAATAGCCTTCATACTTTTGTATATTTATTCAAAGTCAGCTTATTGCCCCCAGAAACTAGGTCCTCAATTTACCTACCTTAGAAAGGATGGAAGGCTGAGTCAACCTTGAGCCCTGTCTGAAGTGGTGTAGGGTTTCCTACCTAAGCAGGGGGTTGGACTAGAAGACCTCCAAGGTCCTTTCCAACTGTGTTATTTTATTCTATTCTATCTTATCTTTCACAATCCCAACTAAATGCTTGAGAGAACTCAACCTACAGATAATTCCTGCTAGCATTTGGAAGTCCTCAAAGAGTAGGATGTTCTCTTGAGCATGAGAATTTTGTCATTCTCCGTGAGAATTTGTGTGAGATCTTGAACAGAGTTGGGAAGATTATCTTGCAAAGCTTCATGCATTTCATTTTATTTAAAAAAAATTTTTTTTTCATACACTGCAACATGCAACTTTCTGCTTGGAAAGGTTTTTCTGATCATTGCTCTAAATCCGGCATGGATCAAAGGATCTGATGCAGTTAGGTTTAACTCTCCTTTCTTTTTATTACTACAACAGAAGCCCTGTGGATTGCTTGGCTGAGGCCAGTGCTTAAAGTCACCCAGTGAGTTTCCACAACTGAAAGTTGAATTTAATCTGGGACTTCAGGCATCTGCATCCATCAACTTGCACAAGGTACAGAACAGGAAGACCAGAAACCCTTAGGCGATGTCAAAGCTGGGGTAAAATCCAACCTTAGGTTTCCTCAAAGGTCTCCTGTTTTCATCATCACCAACTTCATCAACATTTATTAAATTTATATGCCACCCAACTCCCAACAATTCTCATCAGCCACCACTGACAGGGATAAAGTGCATTCCTCATATTTTTTCATTAACTTTAGAGAAGTGGGATATCAGGAAGTTTTCAAAATCTGTCCAATTCCACCTCCCTATTCTGCCCACCCAGCTCTTAAATCTCATTATACGTACCTGTGACAGTCTTAGCTTCTTCACTGCAAAGACAAAAAAGTGGTGGAAAAAACAATATTATTCTGATTAGAATTCTGATGTCTTTCAGCTACGGACAACAAAGCTGTTGTGTTATCAAAATTTATCAGATATTTACTTGTAATATTATTTTTAGATAAATAAAAGAGTGCAATCTGCCATATCTAGTATTTTTTTAAAAAAATTAGATATTGAAGTGACTTCCATCTAGTATGAAAATTAGATATTGAAGTGACTTCCATTTGTATAACTTCCATCTAAAGGTAAAGGTTCCCCTCGCACATATGTGCTAGTCGTTCCCGACTCTAGGGGGGCGGTGCTCATCTCCGTTTCAAAGCCGAAGAGCCAGCGTTGTCCAAAGACGTCTCCGTGGTCATGTGGCCGGTATGACTAAACGCCAAAGGCGCACAGAACGCTGTTACCTTCCCATCAAAGGTGGCCCCTATTTTTCTACTTGCATTTTTTACGTGCTTTCGAACTGTAGAAGCAGAAGCTGGGACAAGTAACGGGAGCTCACCCCATTATGCGGCGTTAGGGATTCGAACTGCTGAACTGCCGACCTTTCAATCGACAAGCTCAGCATCTTAGCCACTGAACCACTGCGTCCCTAACTTCCATCTAGTTGCCTTCAAATCTAGAGCAATATCAACTTCTCTTCTTTTATACAATTTTAAATCTAATATAAAAATAAAACTTCCCCAATATAATTTCCTGCCATCACTTATTACATCTATTTCCAATTCTCAGCAATACAGGTAGTCTTCAATGTATGGCCACAATTGAACTCAGCATTTCTGATGCTAAGTGAGATAGTTGTTAACTGGGTTTTGCCCAGTGGTGAAATGTAAAATTTGTTACTACCGGTTCTGTGGGCATGGCTTGGGGGGGGGTGTTAATGTGACTGAGTGGGCGTGGCCAATTTTATTTTATTTTTTTACTTTTAAAAGCATTTTTTCTACAATCTCTTCGGCTGAAGAAGTTGTTAAAAAATACTTTTAAAAGCCTCTGACAATCAGGCAACTCAGCTGGGATTGTCAGAGGCTTTTAAAAGCATTTTTTTTACTACAATCTCTTCAGCCAAAGAGGTTGCAGGAAAAAAAAGCTTTTAAAAGCCTCTGACAATCCCAGCTGAGCTGCACGATCATCAGAGGCTTTTTTTTTTTTACTTTTAAAAGCATTTTTTTGGCTGAAGAGGTTGTAGAAAAAATGCTTTTAAAAGTAAAAAAAAAAAGCCTCTGATGATCGCGCAGCTCAGCTGGGCAGGGGGAAGGGGGGCAGGGATTTTTGCTACCGGTTCTCTGAACCACCCGCCACCATTGCTACCGGATCGGGTGATCCGGTCCAAACCGGGAGCATTTCACCCCTGGTTTTGCTCCATTTGACAACCTTTCTTGCCACCGTTAAGTGAATCGCTGCAATTGTTAAGTAACATGGTTGTAAAGTGAATCTGACTTCCCCATTGACTTTGCTCATCAGAAAGTCGTAAAAGTGGATCACATAATTCTGGGCCACTGCAACTGTCATAACTGTGAGTCAGTGGCCAAGTATCTGAATTTTGATCACATGATCATGGAGCTCTTACAATGGTCCTAAGTGTGAAAAACAGTCGTAAATCCAGTGGTTGTATTCTGGAGAACCACTAGCGGTGGCTGCCGGTGGCTCCTCCCACCCACCTGGATGTAATCACATCCCATTTATCCGTGTTTTTGACACTCTGCACATGCATGGAAAGCCCTGCGCATGAAAACAGCTCCCTGCCCCCAGCAGATATTTGGTGCCCATTAAGAAAGACTGGGCCAGCCTATCTACAAAATCCTTTATCTGCTTCAAGTAATTTCGATAAAACCGGGGAAAGACTTCTTTAAAGATTGTAACAAAATGATTGCAAATTACATCTGGCAGGGGGAGAAAGCAAGGATCAAAATAAAACACTTACAAGATACAAGAGAGAGAGGAGGATTAGGATTACCGGATTGGGAAACGTACTGCAAAGCAGCATCATTGATTTGGATTAAGGACTGGATAGAACTCAAAAACAAAAGAATGCTGACATTAGAAGGTTTTGATTTACAAAGAGGCTGGCATGCATTTCTGTGGGAGGGAAAACACAACAAGACGGATACTTTCAACGACACATTATTAGATGTGGAACACATTATTGTTCCAAACTTGACAGGAGATAAAAAAAGTTCATTATGACAAAATTCCAGAATGGCTATCAACCATGGAGGCACAGATCTACCCCAATGCTGTGTATATTGATAAAATGAGAACATATAAAGAGTTGTTAAATAGCCAAGGGGAATTAAGACCAAGACAAGAACTGAAAGAACAGGGTACAGACATTGATTGATGGCCATATTTACAAATAAAATCTAGGTATAAGACAGATTCGGTACAATTTGGATTCCAAAAAGAGCCATATGAATTAGATAAAATTTTACAAGTGGCAGATGATAAATTGATAACCAAAACCTATAATTATTTATTAAGATATAATTTAGAAGAAGAAGTGGTTAAAGAAAATATGATAACTTGGGCAAAAAAATTCGGATATAATATTGAATTGGAAAAATGGGAAAAATTATGGAATGTAAATTATAAGATAACAATGTCTATATTCTACAAAGAGAATATGTACAAAATGTTCTATAGGTGGCACCTCCCGCCCGCTCAATTGGCCAGAATGTTCCCGAACACCTCCCCAATATGTTGGAAGTGCAAATGTCAAAAAGGAACCTACTACCACATGTGGTGGTCCTGTCAGAAAGCAAAACAGTTTTGGCAAGCAATCAAGATACAAATAGAGGAAATCATACACCAGAAAATAGAGATGAGGCCAGAAACATTTTTATTAGGAATAATCACAGGACAATACGAAAAAGAAATAAAATACCTAATTATTCATATACTAACGGCAGCACGAATAGTTTTTGCCCAGAATTGGAAGAATGTAGATATACCAATAGAAGATAAAATAATCAGTAAAATCATGGAATGTGCAGAAATGGACAAACTTACAAAGGAAATGCAGGAAAAGGAGGAAACGGACTATTATTTAGTATGGCAGAAATGGTATAACTGGTTGGAGAAGAAGAAAGGAGAATAAGGATAAGGATATAAATGAGAAGATAAAAATTATAGATAAAGTACCAATTAAGGAACATAGTAAATTAAATATGTAAGGAAATGTAAAGAGATGACCTATTAAGAATATAGATACAAAAGATATATTAGGAAAAGATAGGAAAAAAGTATAATTATAAATACAGATTAACGATGCGATAAGTCTAAAATGAAGATGTAAAGATTTGATTTATGTCTATTTGTTTTGTATGTTTTATTATCGTGTCTATGTTTGTTTGTATTTTTTAATAATAAAAAATTTTAAAGAAAAAAAAAAGGAAAAAAAGAAAGACTGGGCCAGCCTATCTACAAAACAAAAGACCTTCAATTCCAGGATGATGGGATTATCCTTCAGGCAAAGCCATTCAGCCACAATAGGACTTGCACAACAAGCCCCTTCATTGCATCAGATAACCTACAAAATCAGCTATGACCCCTGCATAGCCCCATGGGAGTCTGACAGCAACCAGTAGAATACATGCCCTTGCCACAGGAACAGGAAGCTCAAGGGCAAGGCCCAGGAGAGGGTATAAATAACCCTCCCTCCAGGGGTAAAATGCACTTACCTTCGCTACCGGATCAGAAATGTGAGTGTGCACCTCTTCTGCACATGCGCAGAGCCTTCTGTGCATGTGCAGAGGGTCAAAAATGGGACATGATGATGTCCGGGTGGGTGGGTGGAGCCTCCCACTGCCGGCCCTACCGGATCACGCAAGCTGGATAGATCCAGTGCCACTGCCTCACTCTCCACTCCATGTGTTCAGCTGCACCAGAACAATGTGCTTGATGGTTCTGCTTCATTAAAAACCATCTTTTCAAGCAGTTTCCATATTTCCAGTGTCTTTCTCCCCACTTGGAACTAAACCAGATGGATATTTCTTCCAACACTAGTTGTCCAGGGCTGCATGCGGTCCTTGGGTCATTCGTTAGACACACCTGATCTAGATCACCAAGCCCAACTGAGTGCAGTTCAGATGTTGAGAACTTCCATCTTTAGTGTTTCCCAATCATTTTTCTCAACTTTTTTTTCTTATTACAAATCTTTCACATGAGAATCACACATTTCCCTCCATGGTGCTAGAAATCTTTTTATCTGATGCACATCAGTTTTCTGATTCCAAAGTATCCGCATGAAAGAAAACTTTTCCAATTTGGGCTCCTGTTTTTTCACTGAGGACCAGGGACGGGCTCCTAGGGGTTCGGCAGGGTTCGGGCGATCCTCTAGCCAAGGATCGCCGGGGTTCAGCGAACCCCCAGATGCCACCCCTGGCTGGCCCCTTCCACCCTGCCTCACCCCACCCCGCACCTCCCAGGAGTCCCCACGCAGCCTGTTCATCATTCCAGGTAAGTGCAGGGGCCGCATGAAGGGTCTGGTTCCAGAAGTCTGGAAACGGGCCTGTTTCCAGCATCCGGAGGCCAGAGGAAGGAGTTTTCGCCCTCCCGGAGGCTCAAGGAAAGCCTCCGGAGCCTGGGGAAGGCAAAAAACATGCCCCCACCACCACTGTGGTGCAGGCGGCTGACTAGGCCACACCCAGCCAGCCAGCAACGGAGCAGCAAACTCGTTGCTAAAGGATCTGAAGCCCACCCCTGTTGAGGACTCAATGAAAAAAACTCTGATTCCCTTTTTTTTTAACAAAAATTTTAAAAAGGGACTTCAGAACAGAAAAGAACAGAAAAGGTTTCATTGTGGTCACTGAGCAGTGAAAAATTAGGTGTTCTGTGTTTCAAAAGATTTTATGCCCATCTTTTGTGGGGCCATATTTAAAGAGTCCCCCCCCCAATAAAAGAGATACTCACCTCTTTTATAGACCCGGCAAAGGCATATGGAGAGGACCACAATTGCCAGCAGCAACAAGACGGCAACAGCAGCTGTTACAAGCACTGCCCAGACTGGAATCAAACATCCTACAAGAAGATTCATCAGGAAAGACTTCAATGAGTAATCTGGCCCCTTTGTCTCCATCACTATGTCTATTGTAACCAATTCAGTCAGTCAGTCAGTCGGTCAGTCATATGGTCAGTCAGTCAGTCATTCAGACAGTCAGTCATTCAGTCAGTCATTCAGACAGTCATTCAGTCAGTCATTCAGTCAGTCGACAGTCAGTCATTCAGTCAGTCATTCAGACAGTCATTCAGTCAGTCATTCAGTCAGTCATTCAGACAGTCAGTCATTCAGTCCGACAGTCAGTCATTCAGTCAGTCATTCAGACAGTCATTCAGTCAGTCATTCAGACAGTCATTCAGTCAGTCAATTGGTCGGTCAGTCAGTCAGTCAATTGGTCGGTCAGTCAGTCAGTCAGTCAGTCGGTAAGTCAGTTGGTTGGTTGGTCAGTCATTCCATCAGTCAGTCATTCAGTCATTTGGTCGGTCGGTCAGTCAGTCAGTCATTCCATCATTCAGTCATTTGGTCGGTCGGTCAGTCAGTCAATTGGTTGGTTGGTAGGTCAGTCGGTAGGTCAGTCGGTCAGTTGGTCAGTCAGTCAGTTATTCCATCAGTTGGTCATTCAGTCATTCAGTCGGTCAGTCATTCAGTCAATCATTCAGACTGACAGTCATTTGATCAGTCATTCAGACAGTCATTCAGTCAATCAATTGGTCCATCAGTCGGTAGGTCAGTAGGGCGGGTGGTCAGTCAGTCAGTTATTCCATCAGTCGGTCAGTCAGTCAGTCATTTTATATGGCTGCCCAAATTGGAAGAGAAACTCTGGGCAATTTATAATTTTAAAAAGTGAAACTAAATTAAATGATACAATATATTTTGCTATCCCGTGTCTTTCTGACATAAACAACCAACAAGAAAATTTTGGAGTCATAGAAGCGACTCAGGCCAAACCAACACATTGTTCATTCAAAGGTCTTGCATTTGTGCATTCAAAGGCCCGGAGTCTGGCCCAATCTTTGGGGTGAGAGACAGATTTTTCAGATCTTGTGGAAGAACAGAAAGTTTAGGCTGTTTGAACTTCAGGGGAATGACGCAAGAGAGCAGGTATACCCTCTGTCTCCACTAGGTAGGTTTCTTTCATCAAAGGAATCCAGAACCCATTACAGATAGTCCTTGATTTACAACCATTCATTTAGTAACCGCTCGAAGTTACAATATTAATGGAAAAAGTGACTTATGATTGTTTTTCACCCTCACATTGCAGCATCCCCATGGTCATATGACCAATATTCGGACACTTGGCAACTGATTTATATTTATGACGGTTGCAGTGTCCCAGGATCATGTGATCCCCTTCTGACAAGCAGAATCAACGAGGAAGCCAGATTCACTTTTTTTAAAAAATTTGATTTATATGCCGCCCTTCTCCGGAGACTCAGGGCGGCTTACAATGTGTTAAGCAATAGCCTTCATTATTTTGTATATTTATACAAAGTCAGCTTATTGCCCCCACAAACTGGGTCCTCATTTTACCTGTCCTAGAAAGGATGGAAGGCTGAGTCAACCTTGAGCCTTGGCGAGATTCGAACCTGCAGTAATTGCAGGCAGCTGGTCTTAATAACAGGGTGCTTTAGACCACTGTACTACAAGGCTCTTGTAACAACCATGTTACTGACTTAATAACTGCAGGGATTCACTTAACAACTGTGGCAAGGAAGGCTGTAAAATGGGGCAAAACTCACAGACATCTTGCTTAACAACAGACATTTTGGGCCTCAATTGTGGTTGTAAGTCGAGGACTACCTGTACTTGGACTATGGTGGCTATTCTAAATATAACACAGATTTACATCGTTTTATGTTTCACACCAGAGATGGACAATCTACTTTTGATGTGCCCAAAATGTGGCCTACAGAGTATCTCCTAAAACTCTCTATTGAATAATAAAATGGTAATATGACCGAAGGGGAATATTTTCAAATACTACGTAGGGCTCTGCTACACATTGATTTCAAAGACAAAATGATATTTGGCAATGCATAGGTTGTATCTATCTGCAATTCTTCTGCCAAACAATAATTAAATGCTCCTTTAAATGGGTTAAAGGCTCAAAAGTTTTATGACTATTGAGAGGAAAAGTGCAGCTCTTCTGCCTTGGTTTGTACAGCAAGAGACGGGCCATTCACACAAGGCTTTGGACCTCCTTGTAACCAAGAGTAAGTCTTCACCCCTGGAGTTGGGTAGCTAATCTCCCCCTCCCTCTCTCTCCCTCTCTCTCTCTTTCCCTTTCTTTCTTTCTTTCTTTCTTTCTTTCTTTCTTTCTTTCTTTCTTTCTTTCTTTCTTTCTTTCTTTCTCTTTCTCTCTTTCTTTCTCTCTCTCACACTCTCTCACTCACTATCTCTTTCTCTCTCTTTCTCACTTTGTTTCTCTCTTTCTCTCAACACACTCTCTCACTATCTCTTTCTCTCTCTCACTTTGTTTCTCTCTTTCTCTCTCACACACACTCTCTCACTTACTATCTCTTTCTCTCTCTTTCTCACTTTGTTTCTCTCTTTCTCTCACACACACTCTCTCACTTACTATCTCTTTCTCTCTCTTTCTCACTTTGTTTCTCTCTTTCTCTCACACACACTCTCTCACTTACTATCTCTTTCTCTCTCTTTCTCATTTTGTTTCTCTCTCTCTCACACACACTCTCTCACTTACTATCTCTTTCTCTCTCTTTCTCACTTTGTTTCTCTCTTTCTCTCTCACACACTCTCTCACTTACTATCTCTTTCTCTCTCTTTCTCACTTTGTTTCTCTCTCTCACACACACTCTCTCACTTACTATCTCTTTCTCTCTCTTTCTCATTTTGTTTCTCTCTTTCTCTCTCACACACTCTCTCACTTACTATCTCTTTCTCTCTCTTTCTCATTTTGTTTCTCTCTTTCCTCTCTCACACACTCTCTCACTTACTATCTCTTTCTCTCTCTTTCTCTCCACTCTCTCTCAATACATACATACATACATACATACATACACACACACACACACATACATACATAGAAACAAACTAACTAACAAACAAACTAAGTTTGTCTGCCTCATTCCAGACATAGACATGTTCTGCTATTTGTGATTCCACACAACTGAGATTTTTGTTTTTGTTGGGGTCAACCTTTGGCAATCTTTCCTCTAGCCCATTCTGGGTGGCACTCTGAGTCACTGGTTTTCAGAGAAGACTGCCCAATTTAAAAATAATCTTTCAGGAAGAATAACCTGAATACCGCACAAATCAAATATATAAAAATCCAAATTGCTTTCATTTAATGTTTTAATCATTGCATTAATTTAATTTAAACTTACTCATTTACTTTTAACTTAACTCGTTTAATCATGGCATTCTTATTGCTTTCATATCTATCCAAAATTAGAATCCAGATGCCAATTAAATCAAATGTGTAGAGTTTAATGTTCAGATTCCTTTGTATAACCTCTAGCAGATATCAGTTCCTTTTTTCCCAAGCAACTCGGATACATTTATCTATAAATATATCAAGCAACCACAAAGGCATTCTTGACTTAGTCTGTGTCCACTGTTGAACTGTTTGCCAAATTTATCTCACATATGACTTCCTTTTACCATATACCAGCCTTACCACACCCAGCAAGCAAACTCCGTTATTTCCATAACTCTACATTTGTGAAACTTTCCATAAATCAGGGCTCTTAGTGTTATCACTTATTTTATCTCAAGAAATGTACAGTGAACTTCCTTTTTCACAGGGTGCCCATTTCTTAGGGCACTTCTCAAATTTTGCACGGTACCAGAGTGATCTCTGGTACTCTTTCAATCAGAATTCTGCTAAGCAGTTTCCCAAGCAAGGGATGCTGGGAAATAATCCCTTTTTTTTTTTGGTACCCATTCGTTGCTTTCATTTCTTAAGGAAGGGGAATAGTATCAGCATCCTTCCAACAGTTTTAGACACAAGGACAGTCTTCAGACTCGCGTTCAACAAGTTGCACAGCTTCTGCATAAGCAAACCACTTCCGTATTTTAACATTTCTCCACTTACGCCAGCCATAATTGCTACAAGCAGGAGTGGGCTACTGAAGGTTCACAGGGGTTCGGGAGAACCTCTAGCTAAGATTCTGTACAGTTTGGAGAACCCCCAAATCCCACTTCTGGCTGGCCCCGCCCACCCTGCCCCTCCCCTCCCAGGAGTCTCCACGCGGCCCGTTTTGGATGCAGGAAAGTGTATGGCGCACACGGAGGCTCAGGGAAGGTGAAAAACAGGCCTACCGGAAATTTGGGAAGGCCGGAGCCTCCAGAGGGCCTCCAGAGCCTGGGGAGGCCATTCTTGCTATCCCAGAGGCTCAAGGAAAGCCTCTGAAGCCCGGAGAGGGCAAAAATGCCCCCCCCCCACTGTGGTGTAGGAGACTGACTAGGCCACGCCCACCATGGCCACGCCCACCCAGCAACCAGGCAGAGAACCTCTTGCTAAAATTTTTGAAGCCCACTCCTGGCTACAACATTACAATTTTACAGCATTCTCCCAGCCATCATATTTTTAGATGTAGTTGCTTTCCTTTTCTAGGTGTACACATCCATAGATTTATGCCTAAAATACAAATTTGAGAGCCGAGGTGGGGAACTATGGCCCTTTTATGACCTATAGACTTCAACTCCCAGAATTCCTGAGCCAACATGGCTGGCTCAGGAATTCTGGGAGTTGAAGTCCAGCAAGTCCAGCACCTGAGGGTAGAAGAAGAAGCAATGGGTGGAAACTAATCAAGGAGAGAAGCAACTTAGAACTAAGGAGAAATTTCCTGCCGGTGAGAACAATTAATCGGTGGAACAACTTGCCTGCAGAAGTTGTGAATGCTCCAACACTGGAAATTTTTAACAAGATGTTGGATAACCATTTGTCTGAAGTGGTGTAGGGTTTCCTGCCTAGGCAGGGGATTGAACTAGAAGACCTCCAAGGTCCCTTCCAACTCTGTTATTCTATTCTAAATCTTAAAGGGGCCATCATTCCTCACCTTTGCTTGAAAACAATAGATTGTTTTTCTCAGGAGATGCTCCCCAAACAAATAACCATTTTCCTCATATTGGTCCATTCATTTTTGTGCGGTCTCTCCTCACGTCCTTCTCTAGCTATTTAGCCGCCCCAGAGTCCCTTGGGAGTTGGGCGGCATAGAAATGCGACAAAATAAATAAATAAATAAATGTCCCACAGATCACATTCATTTAGAACGTTGTCTGCCCTAAACTCATCTCTATTTCTTTCATCATCATTGTTCATTGAATTGTAATCTCCAACTATTATCAATCTACTAATTCTTGGTTCCACATGCACCCACAACAATCTAGATCCTGGTGTACATTTTAGCTATTTTGTTCATCCTTAAATCTATACCAGGTGTCTCCAAATTTAGCAGCTGTCAGACTCCAAGGTTTCTTCCAACTCTTTTATTCTGCTAGTCTGTTATTAAGTTGCTAGTCTTAATCATTCCCACGCTTCATGAAACATTTCCTAATAATGGTAAGGAGGAAGTTGATCAATTTTGGCGAAGATACTATAAGCAGCAACCACAATCATGCTATTTTATGCAATCTAGAGGCTACCTTGCAACCCAAGATACTGTTACCAGCATCCTAATATCTACGACTATTATATTCAGTGGGTTTTCATACTCAAGATGTATCTCCAAAATTCTGATAGCCAGGATGACTTGCCAAGGGATTGTGGTTAAGTGGGCTTGGCTTAACAGTGGCTTCAACTTGCAATGAAACCATCATTTGTAAAGGGTCCAAAGGTTACCCTCAGTTTCAGAACATGGATTCCTCTTCTGAAGAAGTTAGATTTCACAACACAAAAGATACAAGTTAAATAGCACTTACCACCCTCACAAATGTTACCCAAAATAGAACCCATTGCCAGCGTTATAGGGGAAGTCTTCTGAAAAACAAAAAATAGAGAACAAATGGTCAGAAGAAGGCGGATGGAAGTGACGCAGGTACAGAAAGGAACCATAGAGTGCAAATGATAACCTGGGGATCGCAACATCACCCTGCCTACATTATAACTATTACTATAGCTAGCTGCAGTTAGATATGTAGGCAAGGTTTGGCATTTTTATCCACCTATCGAGTCCTTCCAAAGGACCCGGGATAGGCAGATGTTGTCTTGTGGTGTTTAAGTATGTCGCAGGATTTCAGCTGTTCCAAGGAAAGCTGCCTTTTGCAATTGACTAGTGGATATTGTCAATGCCGATGGTGTTCAAGTGGTGCTCCTGTTGTTTTGGGATTGCACCCAGAGCACCTATTAAATGTTTTAAACCACACAAAATAACAGAACAACGGAGTTGGAAGGGACCTTGGAGGCCTTCTAGTCCAAGCCCCTGCTCAAGCAGGAGGCCTATCAGAGTACTTAGGTGACATGGGCAGGGTGTGGCCATTAGATACTCATAGATGATAGATAGATAGATAGATAGATAGATAGATAGATAGATAGATAGATGATAGATAGATAGATAGATAGATAGATGAGAGATAGATATAGATAGATGAGAGAGAAAGAGAAAGAGACAGAAAGAGAGAGAGATAGAAGAGAGAGAGAGAGAGAGAGACAGAGAGACAGAGACAGAGACAGAAAGAGAAAGAGAGATAGAAGATAGATAGATAGATAGATAGATAGATAGATAGATATAGATAGATAGATAGATAGATGAGAGAGAAAGAGAAAGAGACAGAAAGAGAGAGAGATAGAAGATAGATAGATAGATAGATAGATAGATAGATAGATAGATAGATAGATATAGATAGATAGATGAGAGAGAAAGCGAAAGAGACAGAAAGAGAGAGAGATAGAAGATAGATAGATAGATAGATATAGATAGATAGATGAGAGAGAAAGAGAAAGAGACAGAAAGAGAGAGAGAGAGAGAGAGATGAGAGAAAGAGAAAGAAATAGATAGATAGATAGATAGATAGATAGATAGATAGATAGATAGATAGATGAGAGAGAGACAGAAAGAGAGAGAGATAGAAAATAGATAGATGAGAGATAGATATAGATAGATGAGAGAGAAAGAGAAAGAGACAGAAAGAGAGAAGATAGAGAGAGAGAGAGACAGAGACAGAGACAGAGACAGAAAGAGAAAGAGAGATAGAAGATAGATAAATAGATAGATAGATAGATAGATAGATAGATAGATAGATAGATAGATGAGAGAGAAAGAGAAAGAGACAGAAAGAGAGAGAGATAGAAGATAGATAGATAGATAGATAGATAGATAGATAGATAGATAGATAGATAGATAGATAGATAGATGATAGATAGATAGGATAGATAGATAGATAGATAGATAGATAGATAGATAGATAGATAGATGAGAGAGAAAGAGAAAGAGACTTTTCTCCAGTTCTTTTTCTTCTATTATGCTGTTTTTTTTTAAAATGACTATTATTATTTCACCAAGTTCAAAAAGCTGGGGCTGATGTCAAACTACACATTTCATCTCCCCCACCCACCCCTTTGCTGAAATTTGCGCCAGATGCCAATGGATGGATGAATCAGTTTAGGGAAATCTCTCTCTCCTGTTCCTGCCCCAATGAAGAATCCAAGAAGTTACAAAACACACACAGTTCTCTTTTTTGGAGGTAAAACACATAGATGGTGTTTTAAAAGCTTAAAGGATTTAAGCAACAGTGGTGCTACCTCAGCAGACGTGTGGTGTCTGCTATACCAGCACTATCCCCAGAGTAGCAATATGCAGGGTCCATTCCTCCAGAGCTCTATTTACCACAGGTCAAAGAAGCAACCACATTGCAAACAATACTTTGTTCCTCATAAGAGTGAGTTCAGCAAGTACTACATTCCCTGGCTTCACATACACTCTGTAAATACAATTGTATGATAAGCCATGTACCTCCTCATTCAAGAAACCATTTTGGTGTGGTGATGAAGGCACCAGGCTAAAAAGTTCTCCATATTAGGCATAAAGCCAGCGGGGTGACCTCGGGCCAGTCCCTCTCTCACAGCCCTAAGAAGAAAGCAATGGCAAACCACTTCTGAAATCTTGCCAAGAAAATTACGGGGACTTGTCTAGGCAATCGTCAAGAGTCAACGCGGACTCAAAGGCACACACAACCACACCTCCTCGTTCACCAAATCCTTCTCACAGTTTGCCATCCTCTGGTCTTACTTTTGGCTCCTTCCCGGTGGTTGTCCCCCTTGAACTCCGTCAACTTTTAGAACTTCTTTAGATCCTTCTTACCTTCTTCCCCTTATCTCACCAAATCTCCTCTGTAAGTTTTGGGTTCTTTCACCTTCCAGACACTTGAGCATCTACCTTCAACAGTCTGCCTTCTTTGGAATCTGCGGCATTTCTGCTTCTGACAGATGTAAAAAAAAAAAAACCCTTTTGCTGAAACTTCTGCTTCCACCAGGAAATACAGACCTACCACACAAACTAGAAGTGGACAAGCAGATGTTTCCACTCAGTCACAAGGCTAAACTAAATAGGCCTGAATGTGTCTGCCTGTAGGAGGGGAAGTTGCTGTGTTCATTTTCACCAGAAACCCCGGCCTCCTTCCACTACGTGTTTAACCAGGTCAGTAGAAGCAATGTAAGGGGTATTATGAAATGTCAAGAAGGGGATCTAATGTTTCAGTCAATCAACTTCCAACAGGTTATATTTAGCCCCATCACAGGATAAACCTAATTCTACTCACCCAGCTATACCACTTTAGTTCTCCCAAAAAGCAGAACTGGAAAAATGTCAGGGTTCCAAATAACACCACCAATGAAAGAAAACTCCGAGGCTTGAGTTTCCTCAAAGTTACATTTTATTAGAGATGTCCTATTGGCACATCTGGGAAAACCCGAATCTGAAAGCTTCCAGGTTTTCCCCACCCAAAGGAAAGTTCAAGCCCCTGCCCAACATCCACAAGTCCATCACATGGCCCAACCAAAGCACCGTCCCAACTGGAGATGCTTCCCAGTTCCAGCCTTCCAGGTGCAGGGCAAGATATCCTTGACTTTCTGAGAAAAGAATGTTATTATGACTATATATCACCCATGCTCCATACAATTCCCTCCCTCCCAGTTTCCCTCAGTAGTAAACATGGCAGGTCTGAAGGCCTAGTACAGTGATGGCCAACCTTTTTGCCGTCAAGTGCCAAAAGCGGGGGGGAAATGGGGGTGTCGCACGTGCGCGTGCCCACATCCATAATTCAATGTGCCCCACCCCACACACATGCACACGCGACCCCCGGCCGACCCCCGCTTTTGACACGTGATGGCACGGTGGGCCCGGTATGCCCGTTTTTCACCCTCCCCAGGCTCCAGAGGCTTTCTTGGAACCTGGGGAGGGTGAAAACGGCCTTCCCCACACCCCCGGAGGCCCTTCGGAGGCCGGAAATGACCTGTTTTCAAACTTCCAGTGGGCCTAGAAGGCCTGAAAATCAGCTGGCCAGCGTGTGCATGCGCACTGGAGTTGATCTAGGGCAACACTTGCGTGCCCACAGATATGGCACCGCGTGCCACCTGTGGCATGCGTGCCATAGGTTCGCCATCACAGACCTAGTACAAAAGATGGCTTCCAGGCCTGACAGAAAGAATAAGGGGAAAACAAACTTCTCCATTATAGAATGGCCATTTCAAAAAAAATAAATAAAAATAAAGTCTTATCGTAGTAAAAAAAAATGAACCCTAGACTTACAACAGTTCATTTAGTGACTTTCTATAACAACAAGTAGAAGAAGGATATTCATATTGAGTGCTGTAGAGTGAGATTGTATTAAGCAGCAGTTTGGAGACAAGGCAGTCTCTACAGGTAATCCTCGACTTGCGACAGTTCATTTAGTGACTGTTCAAAGTTACAACGGCACTGAAAAAAAGTGATTTATGACCCTTTTTCACCCTTATGACTGTTGCAGCATCCTCATGGTCACATGATCAAAATTCAGGCGCTTTTCGCAATTGATTTATATTGATGATGGTCGCAGAATCCCAGGATCACATAATCCCCTTTTGCGACCTTCGGACCAGCTAAGTCAATGGGAAAGCGAGATTCACTTAGCAACTGTGTTACTAGCTTAACAACTGCAGTGATTCACTTAACAGCTATGGCAAGAAAGGTCGTAAAATGGGCCAAACTCACTTAACAACTATCTTATTTAGCAATAGAGCTTTTGGGGTCAATTGTTGGTCATAAGTTGAGGACTACCTGTATTAGGTTACAAGGTTGGACTTAGATATTGAAATCTAGAACAGTAAATGATGCCGCAACGCCAGACAGCTGTCTAGACACTCACAGAGAAGGTCCCCAAACAAAGGCAAAAGAAATAAGTATTCATTCAGATAGATAGAGATACAGATTAAGAGAGTTGGAAGGGACCTGGTAGGTCATCTAGTCCAACCCCCCACCCAAGCAGGAGACCCTACACCATTTCTGATAGATGGCTGCCCAGTCTCTTCTTGAAAGCTTCCAGTGATGAAGCTCCCACAACTTCTGAAGGCAAAGCTCTTCCTTTGGTTGATAGTTCTCACTGTCAGAAAATTTCTCCTTATTTCCAGGTTGAATCTCTCCTTGTTCATTCATGAACATTAGCTTTGAAGAAGCAGGATAAGAAGAACTTTCACACTTTTGAACTTTGGTGTTGGAGAAGCTTCTTGAGAAAAGTATGGACAGCTAAGAAAACAAACCAATGGATCATCAATGAACCCAGAGTCCTGACTTGAGGCACATATGACCAGGCTCAAAGTAGTCAGGATAGATGGAAGGAAAATGAAGAAGAGGAGGTCCAGCAACAAAGTGAATCGACTCAGTTACAATGGTGATGGGGGGCCAAAAATCGAGGTTAGCAACAGATCATAATGGAGAAAATCTAGGAATTGGAAAAAAAAAACTTTATCACACATAATCAATGAATCAAACGACCATGACTTTTTCAGAACATCCATAATCTACTTCAGAATTACTTCAGAAGGTCAGTCCTCTTAGAGCAGGGGTCAGCAACCCGTGGCTCTGGAGCCACATGTGGCTCTTTCATCCCTCTGCTGCGGCTCCCTGTTGCTCAAAATATGCGTCACAACTGCCAATGTGCGACACCCACCGACACACAATTTATTAATCTTTTCAATCCCCGGTAGGCCAATCATGGATAAATCCAAGAAAAGAAAAGTTTCAGAAGAAAACAGAATATTTAATTCAACTATATATGCTAGTTTTGTGGCCGCTCAGGAAATAGTCAGGTACGGGAAGAGTTTTGTGGCTCCCGATGTTTTCTTTTCTGTGGGAAATGGGTCCAAAATGGCTCTCTGAGTGTTTAAGGTTGCTGACCCCTGTCCTAGACCTAAGGCAACATTTCTGTTTCCTGACCATCTCAATCTTTCGTATCTTTCTGTGGGACATAGCAGAGCGAAGGGGAAGTGGGCAGGAACACTTGAGTTCTTTGAATAGAAGGGAAATTTTTTGCAGAGCGGAAATTGAGCTGGGTGGGGCCCACCACAACAGAAGAGTTGTGGGCTCACACCTGGTGGGAGGTTTTGCTCCAGCGGACCTGAGAGGCACCTTGCCCACAACAGTTACTCCTCAGGGAAAAGCTCAGACAGGAAAAGGCTGTAGATGTCTCTTTCACCCAGCTTGAAAGCTCAGGAGGAAGTCAATAGAGAAACTGGCTCAAACTAAACCTTTCCAAGACTGAGTGGCTGTGGTTCCCGGCATCCCGATATAGTCAGATGATTCTATCTCTGACTATTGGGGGTGAGTCTTTGGCCCCCTCGGAGAGGGCCTGCAATCTGGGTGTCCTTCTGGATACGCAGCTGTCCTTGGAGGAACATCTGACGGCTGTGGCCAAGGGGACTTTTTGTCAGGTTCGCCTGATATGCCAGTTGCGGCCCTTTCTTGATCGGGATGCCCTGCGCACAGTCATGCCCTCGTCACCTCTCGCCTGGACTACTGCAACGCTCTCTACATGGGGCTCCCCTTGAGGGGCACCCAGAGGCTCCAACTGGTCCAGAATGCGGCCGCTACATGGCGCTCCCATACAACACCTCTCCTGCGTGAGCTGCACTGGCTTCTGGTGGTCTTCCGGGTGGCTTCAAGGTGTTGGTTATCACCTTTAAAGCGCTCCATGGCATAGGACCTAGATATCTTCGAGACTGCCTACTGCTACCGACGGCCTCCCATCGACCTGTGCACTCCCACAGAGAGGGCCTCCTCGGGGTGCCATCTGCCAACCAATGTAGGCTGGTGACCCCCAGGGGGAGGGCCTTCTCTGTGGGGGCGCCCACCCTCTGGAACCAACTGCCCCCAGAGATAAGGAGAATCCAAGACCTCGGTGCCTTCCGCCGTGCCCTTAAAACCTTCTTTTTTCAGCAAGCCGGGCTGGCTTAACTTTTTAAAATGTTTTAAATTGGTTTGTTATTGTTTTTAAATTACGGGGCCAAATTTATATATATCCTTTTAATACTATTTTAATGTTTATAACTTATGTTTTTATTTGGCTGTACACCGCCCTGAGTCCTCAGGGAGAAAGGCGGTATATAAATTGGATATAAAATAAAAAAATAAATAAAATAAAATAGTAGAATGGGATGGGAAACAGTAGAAGTTTGGAAGCCATGGCCAAACAAGAATTCCAATCTCCTAATCAATTAATAGAGTACCCAAGCATGTGAGTACAAATGAGCTTTCGAGAGCCTTCACTATTTTGGAAGATGGGTTTTGCCAGTCTGATACTCTCCAAATGTCTCATTCTGCTAGGAATATTTGGATTCAGAGGTGGGCTGCTGGGGGTTCGCAGGGGTTCAGGAGAACCTCTAGCTAAGATTCTGTGCAGTTCAGAGAACCCCCAAATCTCACTCCTGGCTGGCTCCGCCCACCCCTCCCCTCCCAGGAGTCCCCACACGGCCTGTTTTGGATGCAAGTAACTGGGAGGGCTCTGGGAGGATGAAAAACGGGCCTACCGGAAGTTCGGGAAGTCCGGAAACGGCCTCCAGAGGACCGCTGGAGCCTGGAGAGCAGTGGTGGGTTCCTCCCGGTTCGGTCCGGTTCGGCCGAGCCGGTAGCAGTGATGATATGATGTCACCGAACCGGTTCTCCCCCCCGCCCCCCCACCCACCCCACCCATGTTATTCTTACCTTTTATTTGGTCCCACCCCCAATCTATTGCTGCCTCCTGAGTCCCAGCTGATGACTAGAGGGAAAAAACCTGTTTAAACTCTTGCCAGGGGGCTTCAAAGGGCCGTCCTACAGCTGATCAGTGTTAAAAGCAAACAAATGAGTCGGGTCGTAAGTGCGAGGACTGGTCGTCAGTGTGAGGACCTTCCAGAAATGACTATGACCAGGTAGCCACGCCCACCTAGTCACATGACCTCAAAGACACACCCACAAAATAAG